AACAGCAGCCAGGCTTCGGCGGCTGCCAACGTGGAACCGGGGAAGTTCTTCCGGCGGACGAACCTCGCCGAGGGGAAGAGAATTCCCATGCCGGATATCCGCGACAAGATGCCGCCGCGTTCGTTCCTCCCTCGGGCACTCGCCGAGAGGCTGCCGTTCGGGTCAGCGCGATGGCTTTTCCACCACCGTCGCCGCGTGGCAGCTGGATACTAGTGGAAAGATTAAAGCATAAATTTTAGAAGGAAAACTCACTAAGATCTTACCACAAAGCTTCAAATGCTCTTCATGGCACAGACCCCTTTGTACGCGGCAGTTGTGTGCCCATGCTGGATACTAGTGGTTTCTGGCATGGTTGACTTTTGACAAAATAAAAATGAAGATTATTAAGGTAATTCAGATTATAATATAATGGCAAATACCTCAGTAATTACTGATATTTAAAATATATTACGAACATCAAATAATATAAAAATCTAGATGCGTGCATCAGTAGAAGATATTAAAAATAATTTAGAGTTATTTACTATTCCGTTTATTTCACCATTGAAAAAAAATCATATTCTTGCAAGTATCACGTGATTTATTCCTCTAAAAAATATTACAGAAAAATTTAAAGTAACAATGGCTTTTTATCAATTAAATGTTTATTTTTTCAGCAACCAAATAAAGAGTGTGTGATATAGCCAACGTAGGTACTTGCAAAATTAGACAATAAGCTCATTCCTGTGGGATCCGTGAATGGAAATTGTATATTTTTGTAGTCTTTAAATGTCAAATAACAATTTAAAATCTACTTCATTTACCAAATTTAGTATATCCTTCTTTATTTTCTTGGAATCCTAACTTGCAGTCATTCGTTAAATGGAGAGTGGCCGAAAGAACGAACCCAAACAGGTGAAGACAAAGTCCATTCGGGAAAACCGAAACCAGCTTGGTACAAAGAGTGCAACAAAACAAAGGTATTCTCAGGCCCAAATCTTTGCCTTTTTGTGTAGAATATGGCCCAATCTGGTACCGCAGGGTATGCAAATTTGCAAAGTGGACTGGCTTGCTTAGGCCTATGCTTTCAAAATGGCCTCTGCCAAGCCCCTTTTGGTCCCAATGAATTCAAGTCGAAGATACACTCCGTTTCTCTGTAAGGCTGAAGCTAAGAAAGCCTCTTGAAAACCCTAATCAAGTGATGTGAATAAATAGTTTACTAGAACCCGCCATACATATTTTAAATCCATCCTATTTTATTCTTATTTTTCCAAATTTCGATCTCATTCTTGTCTCCACATGGACATATATACAGGTTTTCGCGATGCAGTCGTTTTATATTGCCGAAGAAATAGAGTGACTTACTAATCCAGGAGTTCCTATGACTAAAAGAAGAAAAAAAATACTGATTAAGCTTTCCACTACCCCCTTCATTAATATGTTGCCTCCCTCGACCATATCTAAATGAATGTCGGTAAATGGGTCAAGCTTATTATCTAACTCTCCATTTTAGGAAATCTTCACCCATCCTAAACTAAAGTCAAGGTTAGTTAAGGAAAAAATCTTGGGCTTCTTCCACTTCTTGATCTTGACAATTATGGTAAAAGAGAAAGTTCTGAACTCAAAGTACCTTACTATTTATTCTAGGAATTATCTCTTACTCATTTTAGACGACAATGGAGCAAGCTAACATGGTACAAGGATTTTTATATAGTGAGATATAACTTCTGCTAGTTTACTTCGAAGTCAGCAAAGATGGATCCTCAATGGTGGGTTATTCGGGATTGGTCCGGTCCACGAATGGAACCCATTTTCTGGTCCTGTTCGGCCGGTCAGACTGGGTGCACACACCGGAAGGAAGCGGCCGGATTTCGTTGGGCTTTCCATTCATGTGACAACACTCGTCGCGCGCCAGTCAGCGGAATGAAGCTCTGCTCTGCTAAATATTTGCCGCCAGCAACGGCTAGCCAAGTGTTTCCTTCCTATGCAGCCACGCTGTGCGCGCGGTGTAGTCAAATGTACGAGGATCGTTCGGTCGTCCGGTGTTGTCTGGTGAGGCAACCGTCCAGTACACACAGCACGACAAAAGTCTGTGGACAGCGCGGCTCTGAGGTTGGTCCACGGCTGCAGATCCTACCGCTTGGCCGGCGGGGCTGACCCACCTTGTGAAATCCAGCGCCAGGGTAGCGGCGTTTTATTGCCAAAAAAAATGAAAAATAGTAATAACATCCTGCAAATTTTGAGCCACCAGATGAAAAAAGTTTTGTCCACGAAATAAAGTAAGGTGTTATAAATGAGTGTGTTTGAGAGAGAAGGTTGAACTCCACCATTCGTCTTGTTTTCCAAAAGATCTACTTAGATATTTGTTAAGAGATGTGTATTGGAACAGAGGGATTTCTGTCCACACGTCTTACCTTACACAAGACTCGCATCAACTCGGCGACGTCTTGTCTCCGTCACAATGTTATATCTTTGATCATTCAAATCGGTCAATTCTATCGCTTTCAATAGGTGGGTTTAAAGCTTGGGCAATTTGGTCTAGAATCAATTTTAATGCATCACGATTTAGAGCACTACTGGATCTAGTGGTTGCCATATCAAGATCCTCTTTGAAACTTTTGCTCTCGAGCTTGGCTGTCCACAGGGTGAGACTGTTTCTTGATGAAAAATAGTGAAAAGAGAATCGGAGCAGTAAGAAATATTTCATGATATAAAACATCAAAAAAAATTATTATGATGTTTGACACGGGTGATAGAAATATTCACACGTTCGCAAGGGGGCTTCCAATCATTGATGAAACTTGGTTGATGTTATGGTTTACTTTTGTCAAAACCATATAGTTCATTGCTGGCCTATTTTCTTTATTATGTTGATAGAGAAGCCATGAAGAAATAAGCTGATCCTTGATATCATTTCGTAAAAGAGTGGCTCCGAATTGTTCTCCTTTAAAACAGATTATTTGAGATTTTTATTAAACTCTCTTATATTGAGTAATTATAAATAAATATGGCATTTTCGTCAAAAATAGGTATTTTAATATAAGTAATGTTCTCCTTTGTTTGTTTTCTCATGAATCATTCCAAAAATTTGCATTTTGCCATATTTTGGGATACTCGAGTGGAGAGATAATAATCATCTTTAATTTGATGAAAATTTAAGAAATTGTATTTATTTTTAAAGGTAAATTGTGCCAATGGAGGTTGTGAATAGTATCTCTAATGTAGGACCTTTTTAATAGGCGTAGTAATGTTATTCTTTACTTTTACGATTCAATAATTTCAAATAATTACATTCAAAACTGAATAAAGGGTAGGTTCACTACGCATCTTAATTAAATTTAATAAATCTTAAAAATAAAACTTAGGCATAAATATCTCATTAATTAAAAGTTATTAATAAACGTATATATTTTAAGATAATTTTAAAATAAAATATTATCGTAATGAAGGGGCTAAGAATCTCAATTCATAAATTTTCTTTCTAACATCTTAAAATACGATAGTAACCACTCTAAATAACAAAATAATGTCTTAAACTTGAGACATTGTCATTAAATTTTCATTAATCTTATCGAGTATTCTTAATTCGAAATCTCTTGAAATAGTACAATTCATGAAATGATACCATGTGATAAAATTCGCAATGTCTTCCTAACATTCCTTAGTCTCCTCTATCACGAATCCTTTCCTTTTAAATGCTCTTTTAACTGAGATAATCTGGGATTAATTAAAAAACTTTAATTTATGCTCCACTTTGGAACATGATAAAATAAATTCAATAAAAATCATTATATTTTTTAGAAAACAGACAAAAATGATCGTTCAAACGAATTGAATTTTCGGTTTCAAATTCCGTCTCAAGAAGAAGAGAGGAAAGAATCCCCTAGCCTTCCCCCTATTTCACTGCTTTCCTCTTCTTCCCCGGCGACGGCAACGGAGAGCCGCAGAACACGGCGGAGATAGCGGCGATGTCCCGCCTCGAAGCTGAAACAGCGGAAGGGTGGACCTGTTCATGGGTATAATTGTCCATCTCAATCTTGAGACAATTTTATTGATTATTATAGCAACAGAATCGGACTTCTTGTCATCGGCTTTTCCGGTTTCCTTCCGCGATTCTGTTGCTGGTTTCCCGTGGTGGACCCTGGCCCGATGGAGCGGGAGCGCCGGTGGTGCTCGGCAAGTTCGGGATTCGCCTCCCGGCTGGCCCCGCCGACCACCGCCGGTTCCCCGTCCCCACCCTCTCCCCGCCGCAGTTCTTGCGTCCTTTTGAAGCAATAAGGAACAAGCAATACGAGGATCATATTCCCTCCCCCCCCTTCTTTTTCTCTCCAGATCCCATTCTCTTTTATCCGCTTCTCATCCGCGCTCTTCTGCAGGACCGTAATTCGGTTACTGTCCTCTCTTTCTCTCAGAGAATCCCATCACTGCCATCTCTCTCTTTCTCTTTCTGTGCGGTGCCCGTCGGAATAGGAGCTGGCACCGACAGGGCAATATATATATATCTATATAAGTACGGTATTCCCTCCGCCGCTCATAGTTGTTTAATCGCCGACTTCAGTGGCGACATCCCTCGTCTCTCTTCATCTTCCTCCTCCATTGCAGTACCTTTTCCTCTCGAGTCGGCTTCGAGAAGCGTCCTTTCGGAAAACCCTATTGCCGTCCTGTCTGTCGAATTCTTTTGATCAGAGTTCTGCCTCCCTGCGCGTGGCCGCCGGCCATGGTACACCCTCTCCCTCTCTCTCTCTCTCTCTCTCTCTCTCTCTCTCTCTCTCTCTCTCTCTCTCTCTCTCTCTTTTTCTCTCTCTCTCTCTCACTGCCCTTCATTCGTTATTCTGAATGCCCCTCTGGTTTCGCAATGTCCTCGTTGTCATCAACCATTATAATAGAAGAATACGATCGCGGATTTCAATGGCCAGGGTCCCTGACCAGTCTGATTATTCCCCGCCGCCCCTGTTTCTTGATGTTTTGTGTAGCCGTCGTCGATACGGAGTGAACAACAGTCGCTTATAGATCGTGGTCTTATGGTGATTCCTCAGGATGGACTCTGGGGCCCTTCGCACAACAGGAGAGGCTGCGGCGGTTGCGGACCGGCGGTGAAGACCTCGGCCGCGAACGCCGAGTACTCTGTCTCCTGTACCACCTTCAACATCCTGGCCCCCATCTACAAGCGCCTCGACAAAGAGGTTCACCCCTCCTCCCTTCTCGTTCCTCAAATGCTTTCTCTAAATTCTGTAGTGCCCGTGGGCGATCAATCTTCCTTTTCGTTCTCGGTCTGAATTTGTGGTAGGGCAGGATCAGAGTCGCCGGGAGAGCCAATACAAGGCGTACTGGCTTAGCAGGAACAGGAGAATACTGGACCGCCTTCTTGGCGAAAAGTCCTCAATCATCTGCCTCCAGGTTGGCCTCTCCCGAACTTATTTGTCTTGAAGCTCTCTCCTGCTTTCAGTTTTTCTCGAAATCTTCAAGTTGACTTTGGTCTTCTGCCTCTCTCTCCGTTCCTGCGACAGGAGGTTTGGGTTGGGAATGAGGAACTAGTGGGGCTGTATGAGAAGACGCTGGATGATGCTGGTTATGTCAGCTTCAAACTGGCTCGGACTAATAACCGTGGAGATGGTATGTTGTCTGATATGCTCTGGCATATCCTCAGTCCAGGAGCTATTATGTCGTGGATTTCTCTTCGGATTATATTAGAATTAGGGATTCTTATGATGTTACTTTGCCAATTCACGAGCACATCAAACAGAAGAACTGCCGAGGAATCTTTCAGGTAGCATAGCTTGGGAAATTAAATGATTTCCCTGAGATTGTCAGTTCGTTCTGTTTCTATGTTTGGGGACATGCCGCCGTTTCTTAACAGACTAACAAAGTCTGCCTCCGGGCATCTGATCCTTTTGTGATTGTGTCAATCTCCATATGACCCTTTCTTAATTTTGGGGCTGTGACAATTTTTTCAAGAAATTTCTTTTTGGTTCTCATAGAATTCTCAAGACCTGAATGGTACGAATAACACTTTCAAAGACTTTGTGGAGATTCACCAGAGTTTCTTAAATCACGGTCTTTGGTTGCGTTTCTCTACAAATTTTTATGCTTGCTTGGTGCCCATGGAGATCATCGTTCTCTCATCAACTCCCAGTTTCATCAATCTCCTGCTAAACGAAACCATCGTGATAAATATGGGTGCCTCTTCCTCAGCAGAAGTGGCCCTTCATTTTTTGCTTTCTTTTGAGACATTTACAGTCAGAAATCCATGCATCTCGTTTGAATTGGTGTCCTCTCGAATCCTTACTCCTCTTGACTTCTCTGACTTCGTGCTTATTATTCATCAATTAAATCTTTTTCAGGTCTGATGACTGCCCTCCATAGAGACTGTTTTAGGGTTCTAAACTACCGAGAGCTGCTCTTCAATGACTTTGGCGACCGTGTTGCTCAGCTTCTGCACGTTGAGTCAGTTTTCCCTTTCTGGCAAAGTCGGCACAGAAACATCCAGCAGGAAGTTCTCATAGTCAACACCCACTTATTGTTTCCTCATGATTACCGCCTCTGCTTCGTTCGATTGCATCAGGTAGATTTGTTTCCAATTTTCTTCAGCCAAGAAATTTAATTATACACACTGCATGCATATTAATCCACCAGTTCCTCAGGTCTACAAGATCCTTCAGTATGTGGAGTCTTACCAGAAAGAACGCGAGCTCAATCCGATGCCTATCATCCTCTGCGGGTCAGTTCTTGTTCGCCAGATTGTTTCCTTATTTTTTTGAGAAATCAGATTAGAAAGAGGTTATCATCGTCGTTCCTTGTCCACCTTTTAGGGACTGGAATGGAAGCAAGCGGGGGCGCGTGTACAAGTTTCTTAGGTCTCAAGGCTTTGTCTCCTCATACGATACCGCCCACCAGTACACCGACAGCGATGCAGATGCCCACAAGGTGATCATCTCCTCTTCCTTCCTCTCCCTTCATGAAGATGAATCCCGCTCTTCCATCTCTCCCTGCTGAGCTTCCCACTCCTCCCAATGCCAACAGTGGGTCAGCCACCGGAACCACCGCGGCAACATATGTGGGGTGGATTTCATATGGCTTCTTAATCCGAACAAGTCCCGGAAGCCGCTCAAGACCAGCTGGAATGAAGCCGTTTTCGGTATAATTAAGGTAATGAATGTGTAATCAAGCATCTGCCTTCGCTGCTAGTAGTAGTAGTAGTAGTAGTAGTAGTAGTAGTTCTGCTCGGATTTAATTTCCGTTCTTCCTGTTCAAGACTGAGGAATCCTCCTTTTTTATTTGCCTCAGTACTTCCTTCGCGAAGCCTCCCTGTCAGAAGAGAACTCCTTCGGGTTCCTGAAAGCTGGCAGTGATGGTGACTGCATCACCTACCCTAGCTTCTCCCAAGCTCTCTGCCGGGTAAGCCCATCCCCAAGAACAAACAGGCCAGGAATAGAAAAAATCTCCCATCTCAGCTTCTTCTCCATCGAAGGTCGCTTAATCTCTGGTTATTTATCCGCAGCTGCACTTGTCAGGGCACCCATGCGGACTGAGCTCCGAAGAGATCCAGGATCTGTGGACGCAGGCGGACGTCGATGGGAACGACTTTATAGATTACGCTGAATTTCAGGTGTGATCTCGTCTACCCTATTTTCATTTTATCATAGGGTTTGATGATCCGCTCACGGTAGTTCTTCCCTCATCCAGCAGCGGATTTGGAACCAAGACTGTGCCGAACCGACCGAGGAGGCGGCCGGCGAGGGGAGCGGCGGCGGCGCGGAGAGCCTGTCCATCGGCTTCGACGTCAAGAACGCAGCCCTCTTCCCGCCGGAGGCGGAGAAGGGGATGTGGCCGGAGAACTACTCCCTCTCTGACCACGCCCCGCTCACCGTCGTCTTCTCGCCCGTGAGGGTGCCGTGCTCCCAGCCCATCTGCTGAGCTCTAGCGTCAATGGACTGGCTCGTAGCATTTTTTCTCCTCTCCCCCGTGAGGGCTGGGTGTGTGCAGCAGCCCCGCCCCGTGAGGGCTGGGCTGCGCCTGCCCGCTTGATGATCGGATTTGATTTAATTGTTCGTCGAAATGCCTAGAGGTTGACTTCCTCTCAGTGGACTACATGAATTTTCATATATATGGAAAAAAGAGCTACCTGATTCACAACGTAAGCGTGACGCACGGCTGACGCACCAGCGCACCAAACGCCCGTGAGAACTAAGTGGGATCATCAGAAGTCGACTTATCGCAAAGTCAATTCACGCCTCGCCAGAGAGAGAGAGAGTATCCCCCTGGCTTAGCCATATTAAGTAAGAGATCTCCTTCGCTATTGCCCATGCGAGATGGATGCGGCGACGACTGGTCGTAATAATATGCCATGTTATCAATTTTTATAAACTTTCTCTAGCATCGGCGTGACGTTGAATTTTTGTAGGCCTACGCATGGCTGAAATTAATCCCTCCAGATCAGTGCTCCCTCAAATTCGATTTTTCAACTGGGTTGCTGAAATTAGTGATATTTATGTCCTTTATTTCGTATTTTGGCGTGCTCTTCCGCTGCAGTTGTATCTAGTTTATTTTAATCAAATTGAAAATTCTTGTCAATCACGGGCCAAGTGGAATCGGTACTTTTCAATAGTAAACCACAACTAAGGGATTTAACCCGGGATTATTACCAGTTCCGCGTTGCCTGGAACACAACTGGGCTGGATTGAACAGATTGGTTGGGCTGTTTGGTCCGGGCCCAATCACTTCTTTTCCTCTCTCTCTCTCTCTCTCTCTCCCATCGGAGCGCAGAGGCAAAATTCGACGGGGATTCGAAGATAAGTCGCTGTCACCTTTGAATCGCCCCGGGGGCGCAATCTTGCTTGACATTTGTCGTCTACTCTCTCTCTCTCTCTCTCTCTCTCTCTCTTTCCACGTACTAAGACTGAGACCCAATCCTGAGATTTACTTCGCCGTCTTGGTATTCAGGAATGTGTCGCGCGGACCAGCGACGACTGTGTTAACTACTGAAGACATTTTTCTTAGTTCATTTTCTTACTCTGTCTCCCTCCCTCCTCTCGCTCTCTCTCTCCCTCCTGACATTTTATCCGGGAGGGTTGTGGTCGACCATTGACGAGCCCTTGGAGGTGGCCCATCCATCATTTTCATGGTGAAACGGCTTCTTGTTCCGTCGGCCAATCTCGCTGCACGGAAAATGTCGGATTATAGTACCGGTTGAATGAGCTGGGGCGTGACCGCTTGGGGATATGGGCTTGACCAAGAAGCCGGGGGAGAGCGAGGAGGCCCTCCTCGAGGAGAACGAGGAGCCCAGCCTGGCCAGACAGTCCACGGCGGATCCGGTGGTCGACCGGCCCCCAACTCCCATTGCGTGTACCTCGGGTTCTCCGACCGCACCCGTCTGCGCCAGCCATGGCCGGGCGGCGAGCCCCCACTTCTGTTTCCTGCGTGGAGCTCGGAGGAATCGAAGGTGGAGCCCTGCACTTCGTGTTTCGTCCACCGAGTCGCCGACCATGGCGGAACCCCGCCGCAGGAGAAACCGTACTCTGCGTGGTGCATCGACATGGAAGACGTCACCATGTCCAAGGCCACGCCCATGCCTCTAACATTCCTTGAGAGGAGCCCACAGCTCCGTCCCTTGGACCGCCGTTACACCATCACTGGTGGGGGGCGAGACCTCTACGAACAACTGAGGCCGATGTTCCGGCTAGACATTCCGGGACCAGCAGCACTCGTTGAGCTCTGGTTTCAGATCAGGCCCCCCAATGGGGTTTCCTCGTTCGTACTGACCGAAACCGGGGCCCTCCCCTCTGCCGCCTTGATGACCCTCGACCCAGAGCCGCCTTCGGAGCGGCGGCCGCTTCCGGTGCCGCCGCGATTCTCCTTCCGAAGAGGCAGCACGCACACGGGGAAGGGGGGAGGGGTGGTGCGCGCCATGATTCTTCTGTGGCTTGCGGTGTCCGGTGTACTTTGACGTACCCGGTGACAATCCTAACATTGGCGACGGCGCAGACAGCAAAGAACTTCCCCACGTTGCTGGCGGGGCCCTTTCAACGGGGGATCCAGAAGAACCGCTAGTTGGGAGAGGACGGGCTGGTTGGCGGGAAACGGATACCGTTCTGTGTGTACGACGAGTCCGCCGGGGTCCCTGCGGGGAGTGCCGCCCGGCTGGGCGACCTGGGCTGGCAGTGCTACGTTGCATGATCTTGGCCGGTGGTCGGGACGCCATGGTCTGGTTTAAGCTCGGTGAAGACCACCTCTCCTCGCCAACGTTCATGCTGAAGGTGGGGAAGGACGCTTGCCGGAGAGCACCTGCGGTTTGAGTGCCGGTAGGAGAAGAGGAAGGAGAGTTCATACAATTTGAGGAGCAATCGAGGCGGTTGTCTAATTTACCGGCGTCTTCCCGACGGAGGAAGAGGATCCTCCTGAAATCACAACAGTCAATCCCTTGGCATCATCGTAGTCGACAGCGGGAAACGAGATCATGGATGAGATCAGTGGGGGCGCCTGTGACGAGGCAGACGAGTGGGTGCTCAACACTTGGCTCGCGGGCGAGGACCGTCACGTTGCATGGACGTTGACATCACTCCAAGGATGGTTTCTATCGCCACCCCGAAGGAGCGCGTGATCTATATAACGACTATTAGGGCCCTATCCCGGATATTACATCTTTAGTTGATGAGCATTGAATGGTACAAGCAAAGGCGTTGGTGTGAAACAATCAGAAATCGGGAGTCCAATCAATGGTTTTATCTCTGAACAAAATTTATACTTGACCTGTAAGCCCCTCCACATACACACACTAGCACTAAACTATTCTCCATCATTTTCATCATCATCATCATCGTCGTCGTCGTCTTAGTCTCTCTCACTCTCTCTCACTCTCTCCATCGTCCGTTCAACTCAAAGCCAATTTATAAACGACTGGTGGTCCAGATCCTGGGTTTGTACGTACCCGTTGACTTTACGTGTCTAATCATGTGGGCATTATAGACAGGAAGACAGGTGCGACAGGAACCGTCGACGATGTCGGAGCCATTTAATTCAAAATAATTGATAATGACCGGGGTTGGTAATATTACATTTATTAACATGTGAATATTCTAGCACTCTTTTTGATGACGTATCCATATTTTTTTTCTTCGGAAACAAGTGTGAGGATAGCATTGTTTACGTTGATAAATCCCTTTTTTCGGAGGACTGGGTCATGTAAAGAGCCTGAGAAGAAGGATGAAGAAAGCTGAATACCTCTACGGGGATGTGGATTGATAAGCCCTCCATCGGTGGTCAAACGCCATGATACAGATGTAACCTAAACGGGGGCTTCTACCGGTTCCTGGGCTTTTCTGTTCTCCTCGCTTCCTTCAAGGTGCTTGACTTCGATCTCACAAACACTAGGGATCTCCTTGTTCTTGCCCCAGAGAAGAGAGTAGAGACCTAGTATCACGAATACAGAGCCCAAAACACTGCATACAAGGGAAGTTACGACCAGAACTAGGTTAAAGTATGAGTCACCGAAGGGGTTAAAAGTGCGAAGCTTTGCCCGGTTCCCCCTACCTTCCCAGGTGAAGACGCTCATGCATGAAGGACAAGTCGATAATAGCTACGACGATCTGTATAACGGGGGTGAATGCCGCAGGGAAGACGGGGCCTCTCTTGCTGATGCACCACAGCATGACGAGGAACCCCATTCCTGAACCCACCATGCCCTGCAGCCACTCTTCTAAAACTTAACCTTTCGTGTGTAGGGAGAGAGAGAGAGAGAGAGAGAGAGAGAGAGAGAGAGAGAGAGAGAGAGAGAGAGAGATTACCGCGAAGACTATGGTGATTATGGGCAGCTTTCCCCGCACGGCAAGCAAGGAGGTTCCCCCTTCAATAACCAGAGTCATCACTGCCGATTGTAGGAAGCTCAGGAAGAAGATGATGGCAGTGCACGAATAGAGTGCTGGGTACTTCTTGTTCACGTTGGATTGGAGGAAGAACCAGGAGCACCAAGTTATGCAGGCACAGAAGAGTGCCACCGACCCGACGGTCCATCTGCCGGTGCCCTCAACGGCGTGCGGTGGCGCCGGAGCCGGGCTTGTTGCAAGAGGCCCGAGAATCCCCCCGTGCGTCAGGGCAACGCCCTTGTAGAAGGTGAGAACCATTGCGCCGCCAACGCAGACGACGGTGCCGACGACCTTGGCTTGGCCTGCCTTGCTCTTCAGATCCAGCATCTCCATCCTGAATTTTCGCAAGGGGCGGCATCAGGTGAGATAAAGAAGGATGAACAGCATTCCCCAAGTTCACTGTTCTTTCCCGACACTGAATTTTTTCCTTAATTCTTAGTAGTAACTGTTGACCGGTGTTAAGACATGTGGAATGAGGACATCTTGGGGGGCACGAGATAGAGGAAGACTCGCGCCGACTCATCAACGATGCCGTGGCTCTGGAACACGCAGGATAGTCTATTCTGGTTGCGAATGACGCTTTGGGAAGGTTTTGGGGACGGCTCGTACTGAGAACTGGGGTCCTCGAGGAGCCACAGAGGGAGCAGACCTGAAGACGAGGGCGACGACGAAGGTGATAACCGGCGTCATGTTGAGGAAGGCGCACGCGAAGGTGGCTGACGTTTCCCGCATCCCCACGAAGAAGAGGTACTGCGTCAGGGTCGCTCTAGCAAAAGAGAAAGAAGACCTAATCAGCAAGCACAACTGCCACGTGGTGAGCTGTATTCCACCCACTTGAGGCTTTCTCTCAGTATCTTCTTGTCCATTGTTGCTGGAAAGCGTTGAGAGTGGTACCCCAACAAGGCGCAGAAGAAGAGCCGGGTGAACATCCCCGGGGTGAGCCTCGGCCTTCCCCCCCTGCGTCATCCGCGATTACATTATTAAATTTCGTCTGCAGGCAACCAGGTAACACGTAGACAGAGGGAGAGAGCGAGAGAAAACGGGAAGTGGGAGAGAGATTGAGAGAGGGAGAGCAAGAGAGAGCGGGAGGAGAGAGAGCTCACAGAGAGAGGGAGAGAGGGAGAGAGGAAGAGGAGGAGAGAGCGATAGAGGGAGAGCAAGAGCGAGCGGGTGGAGAGAGAGAGATCGAGGGAGAGAGGGAGCAAGAGAGAGTGGGAAAATAGAGAGAGATGGAGAGAGAAAGAGAGGGAGGGAGAGAGATCGAAAGGGAGAGACGGAAAGAGATCGAAAGAGAGAGAGGGAGAATAGAGAGAGATGATGAGAGAAAGAGAGTGAGAGAAAGAAGAGGAGAGAAAAGAAGATGGAGGGAGAGAGAGAGAGGGGAAGGGAGGGAGAGTGCGTTAAACTAAAGATCAAATTAATATTGGTTAAACCAGTTACCGGTGGGTAACTGGTTTCCGAAGGAGGAGAGAGGAGATGTATGAGGGTCAGGTAGCGTTGAACCTCTCACGGCAACACGCGATAGGAATCATGAAGATAGTTGCGACGAGCTGGCGGAGGGTGATGATCGCTAGGCAGCTGACACCCTCATCTATGGCCTTCTTGATTAGCGAGTTCATAGTCCCCAGGGCGACGTTTACTGCAAGCATCGCCACCACCGGGCGCCATCTGTCAGACCACGCATCGCCCGCCATGGCCACCGGTGGGTTCCGCTCAAAGCCTGTACGCTAGGGCTACATACAAACACAACCCAAGCCTATGAGATGCTTCCCGGGAGCAGCCAAGATGTTCGTCTTCCGTCAAGTCCTTGGCTTTTATAGGCCTCCATTCTTCTCTCTCTCATCTTGCATATACCCTCCTCTCTCTCTTCCTCTCCCGGCCGCCGCCCCCTACATCCCTGCTGATCTCACCCGTCTGTCGTCAGCAATTACCGCAGGGTACACGGGGCGGATGTCTGAACACATGGTCGTCTGATCTGCGGCTACGCATCTCCCTTATCTACACTTCCCACCGAGCCAGAGCCCTATGTTTCCACCTTGATGTTGCCCCCACGATCTCAAGGGCCTTCACCCTAGCCCCACCATTGACCCCGTCGGTGCTCTTCTGATCACGATGGGAACAACGTTGCTGTTTCAGTTATCCCTGTGATGAAAACAAGGTCCACATAGTAAGAGTAAGTTAGCACTACTCCGAAAGCTAATCAGTAAGCTGTCGTCCTTTCTCAGCGGTCAATGGCGAAAGTAGAGTCACTAATCCTAAAAAAAAAGTGGGCTGTCAGCTGGCTTTTTACGCCTCCCACCACCCCAAAGAGAACCGGATGGTTTCGTTCAAGAGAGGAAGAGATTGGTCCCTATCTTCCAGTAATGAGTGGAATCACTGTTGGTTCTCCACTGACGCCCACGAAGCTTCTCTCACTCCCGCCGGCTGTCCCTGGCGGCGAAGCACAGAGGTCAAGCGGGGAGGGTGGGTGAGATCATGCGATAAGTATGCTCTATAAGTTGGAGTCTGCACGCATGGTGCGCTAGTCGGAGGCCTGCGGAGGCCGACCATTGGCCACGGTGAGAAAGGCGGAGGAGGCCATGCCGCGGCGGCAGGGGCGAGATCTCAGTGGATGCCTTGCGGGGGATTGTTTTGCCGTAGTTTATGATATGTAGGGGCTGGGGGAGTGGTCGGTGTGTCTTCCGGCGAATAAACAAAAGGTCTGCATAATAGCTACTTATAAATATATGGGTTGCTTTCAGAAACGTGTCTGCGGCGAGTTGAATGTGATATGTGATGTTCCCGGGGGCCGTGTTCCCGGGGCGGTGGGGAGAAAGTAGAGTCACTAATCCTAAAAGAACGTGTTCCCGGCGAGTTGAATGTGATGTTCCTCATGAGATGTGAACTAGAAGCAGGAGGGGGCCGTGTTCCCGATGGGGGGAAGGCGAGGAGAGAGAGAGAGAGAGAGAGAGAGAGAGAGAGAGAGCATTGCTTATCCTGGTCATTTCCACTGCAAGGAAAGTCCTCTTCTCAGTACTAGCTAATCATAAAGATGTTACCTTTCACCATTGTTGGCGTTCTGTGTTCATCCAAAACTCTAAGATTCTCAGATTCAGACCCAAGCCCCGTCTGTTTACTAAGATGTTAGCCATGTTGTCATTGCCAGTCGCCAGATGAACCTCTTGCTGCCACGTTACTGCTCCCATCGGCCGTGCCTCGCAGCTGGCGGCCACGGCATCCTCCGCCGTCATGAGGAACCACACTCGGGGGCTTCGGACCTGTTTTCATCTCTTCTTTGAGGACGGGCCATGTTAAGGCGTAAGGAGGCCTCGGCCAGGGCCATCAAGATGGTAAATTCTAATCTCGGTGTCGTTCTGGAAAAAAAAGAGTAACTTAAATAAAAAGAGCGAGTAACACAAGTAAAAATCCTGCGGTAAACGAATATTTTCTTTAAAATAAATTTATTAGATGATTCAGAAACATTGCTGTCAGAAAATCCAGTATTTAAGTAAATAAATGAAGGCCCAATTGGAGCCCATTTTTTCGGAGAGACCCATTCTGTGCGCATATCTCTCTCTACGCCGCTGCCGTAAACGCCGGAGCGGATGTGTTAGAGGTCGTCATTGAATAGTTTGTTCGTGTATTCCCCCTCCCATATTTCCTCTACGCGTAACTCTTTGCTGCTGATTATAGTTCGTCACTATATTTGCTTTGGGTCTTAGGGTTTATTTCGGTGTTCCGGGCCGATTGGCGAAAGTCGCAGGTGCCACAGCTGCCCCCAGCAGAGACGGCGTCGCTCGCCTTCGGAATATGCTAGAATTACTGGTCTGAAGTGTCTGTAGATGCGGGATTCCTCGCCTCTTAGTCGGTCACACTTTGTTGCTCGATTGAATCGTTGCTTTCAAGATTTCGATATATTGTATCCTCTCTTCATCGTTACGTTCCATTTCTGTATTTCTGAAGAAAATTTCGTTTCCCTTACCTGTTGATGGGGCTTTCTGGTCGGCTTGTCCTAGCTTCGTCTGGGTGTCCTACGACAATGACCATCAAGGCCTGGCTCAGCTTTCTATGTGGATGTAACCTTTTTATTGTGGTTTTGAGGAGCTTGCAACGTGATAATTTTCTTGATGGAATTAGGGCAAAGTGGTGTAGTTCTGCATTCTGTGTGGCTGCAATGTGGCACATTAAGTTCATTGAATAAAAAGTTTTACTTTGTTTAAAAATCAAAGGCTTCAATTCTTGGCCGTAATTGATCATCATGTGGAATAAGTTGGGCATCTAGAAAGATTCTTTCGCTTTTTCCTCTCTGATGAAAGTGCAGGGCGTGATTCTCTTTATCCTGTGCATGAATTTTATACTTTTCTTGAATAATTTCATCATGTGGGGCTCTTCAGTTCCCTAGTTGGTCCTCGGTCGACATAAATGCTGGATGATTTCGGTATAGCCGATGGCCTTCGGAATTTTCGCGGCCTATCGATATTTCTTTGAAAATCCTAATCCAAAGCCATTTATTCAGCTTTTTTTTGGTCAGACAAAGGATCGCTGTTATCAGTCGGCATCGGTCCATCGAGTGTAAAAGAATAGATTGGGAGTGAAAATCACACCATGCTACACCTTGCCGAGGGCGACGGAAGAAACCTACTACGATGTACTCTATGTTGAAGAAACCGCAAGATATGAGGATATCCCGAGCACATTACAAGACGGCCGTCCTTGTCTCACATCTAGACAAGATCAGCTCCAAACAGGCAGTTGGGGATCGCCAGGAGTTACGAGAGAGATTTCTGAGAATCCACATGGCCTGGGAAGTTCTCAATGATACAGAGTTGAGAGCAGCTTATGACAGAGGCTTGAAGGGCTTGAAATCTGCGTCATCAGTGTATCCAGACGCAATTGAGTTGAAGGATGTGAGTGATTCTAGTGACCCTCTGGAGCTCATTTTCCCTTGTAGGTGTGGAAAAAAAATCTCGATTACTGCGGATGAACTGGAGGAGATGGGATTCCTGCCGGATAATGGCGAGGAGTTGGAGGGGCAGGATGTCTCTGATCTGGCACCTGTGTCCATAAAAGTTTCTTGTTCCTCTTGTAACTTGATGATTTTTTCGAGAATAGATCGTACTTGAATCCTCTCTATGTAGAATTTGTTAAATCTGATGGCTTATATTGTATGAGTAATTAATTGAAGCTAAAAATATACTCGAATCCGTGAGTGTGTGAAAGCTAAGGTGTTTGTCACCTGAAGCTTGGGTTTTTTAATGATTTATATAGTCTATACTTTCGGACATATATTTCTCAAGATCGCTACTTACTTTTTTATGGGTGAAAGAATGTGGATTCAATTTTCAGTTTTGCCAAACACGCTTGTAAGATCATTAGTATTTGGAACTCCACATGTGACCACACTTTATCAAATTTCCTTTTACAATTACGATTAATCTAATCGGCAGAGATTTTAATGTTTTGGTTGTGACTTGGAACCAATTCCACCCAATGCCAACTTGATATTAATCGGTTAAAAATGTGGATTTCAATTGAACTAACTTGATAATTTTCATATTGGAATCCAAAATTAAGTGCTGGTGGAATTGAGCTCACTCTTAATCCCTGGTCCCTTGCGTCTTGAGTCACTCTAATACTCTCTCTCTCGGATGGGCGTATTGGAGGGGCTGAGTTAGGCTCAATGTAGATTTTCTGGGCATTAATTCAACAGAAGGGAATTTCAATTGTACAAAGGGGTAAAGAATAATGCATATTTCGAATCTACTCAAACCACCCTAAAGAATAACTCAACTGTCGGTGCATTCTAGTTATATTTTGTATTTTGAAATTAGAAGTATATTTCAGGAATTTATTCGTGAATCTGTTGTCTAAATATATCAGCATCACAACTACTGCATAGGTTGATGTCCTAAATTTTTTCTGAAGAAAATGTAAGCTGTTAGTATACCGAAATCTATTTATTTTTATAGAACCAATTTTACTTTATGTTATGTTTGACACTCAATAAGGAAGATAATTTATTCAATGGCTATGACCAATTTATTTCTATTTATTGTATACAAAGAATTTTATTAAGATTAGGTTACACAAAAGTCATACTATTTTATGGAGTGTCTGAACTATTTGAAGAAAATCAATTTAATCTCATCTCTATTTAGATGTCATTTTAAATAATAAAATAATATTAAAATTCTCACAACCTATTACTAAATAATATTTCATCGTGTACAAAATAGTATTTATAGTTTTATGACTTGATTATTCCATTCAATCCATGCTTACATTCTATATCATTCTTTTCGTACATTTTATAAAAGAAAGTAAAGAAAGTAAGGAAATCATAAACCAAATCGTTTCTTATAAATGAGTATCAATAATTTTTCTTAAACAAACTTTCATTTATGTTATCAGGGACATCATATCACTTGTTACTATATTCTTAGATCAATCAACCCTAATTATCTCTATAGAATTAGGCAATTACTATTCCCACAGCCTGAAGGATGAGTCTGGAGAATCTCTTTCTGGACTATCCGAATCATGCTGATGTATCCAGACGTGCTTTATTTGTTCCTTTCTATCGATAAAACAATAAAGACTACGTAGACTATCGTCAAGAGGAAAGGCCAAGTAAGATTATGACAAAGAACAATCGAAGTCAGTACCTGCTTGCATCCCTCAATCTATATCAATAACCAATGTGTTTGAGCATCAGACTTCTGAATGTTAATGCGTTGCATTATATATATCCATAACCAATGTGTCTTGATGAAAGTAATTTAGTAATGCTAATGTGTTGCATGTGTTAGGATGGAATTCGAGCTCACTATTGCATTACTGGCTTTCTATGAAGGATTGTGAACATTATATATATATATATATAAAAATGTTTCAAACTCACATGTAGGTTAACAGATACATAGTCACTTTACTATATCCCCAAAAAAATGAGAAATAGTCAATCAACAGTAGGGCTGGAGATTTATGTAGTTTGTACTGAGTAGCAATAGATTGTCCAATAAGTTATACTTCTGTAGAAAGAGTGCGCAGACCAAAATCGTAAAGAATTATTAACACAAAATGAAAGCTTTTGAGAGCCGATGTTAATGAGATCCATTGACGCGTGGATTAGTTTCCCAGTATTCTGCTATGTAGTATGGATTAAACGATTGAAGCAGCTCCAATTCTTGGCCTGGAAGATACAACACTTTTGGTCGGTAATTTAAAGTCGAAGGCTCTAGCCTTGATGTACCCATTATGTGCTCATCCCTGAGTGATCACTTGTGCCTAGGTTTGTCTTATGATTTCAATGTAAATTTTTCCGCTGTATAAAGGGCCGACAGGATATTCCGGGAAGAGAGCTAGCGCAGGATGTTCGAAACATCTCCGGCGCGGGATGCTAGGAGAGGCCCGGCGCGGGCTGCTGGAGACGGGGGAATGATGAACAAAGGGGAGGCATGGGCAGGCGCAGATGGTGGGAGAGGCCCCGCACGGGCTGCTGGAGACGGGAGGATGATGGACAGAGGGGAGGCATGGGCAGGCGCAGATGGTGGGAGAGGCCCCCCGGCGCTCCGGGGGGCAGCGCGTCACGAGGGCCGGACAGAAAAACGGAAAGGGGAAGAGGCCCAGAGTAGTTCCGTGAGGAGCGTGAAAGAGGGACGGAAGCCCGATAACTCTTCTTTTTTCTCGACTCTTCTTTCTTTGTTCGTTTTTCGCTCTTTCATTGCAAAGAGGGCATCTCGTACCAGAGACGCCCGGCGGTGCACGCGGACCGGCTTCTAATTCGAGGTTGTTTTCGGGACGCACAACGAAGAGCGTAAACAGCGGGACGAATCCTGAGAATCGCAGTTTTCCAAGATGGAAAGCTAGTCAACTCAGAAATTTCTTTTGTTTTATGATGAGAAGGGATCGGATTTTAGGGACGTGACACCATTTATCGGCCGTTCGCCAAGAGTGGGCAAATCGGAATGAGCTGTATCCAACAGCCGGAAGAAGGAGAGTGTGGCCAGTCTAAAGAGAGAGAAGATGCGCATCGTTGACCTGATTTAATTCTCTACGGCCATTCTCATCACAACTTCATAAAGGATTGTGCCACCTTTCAAGTATCCGTAAGAAGCACTTACCTTATAATCATTCCCATGAAAGGCCTGATTAGATTAAAAGACGCTAGCGTCAGGGACATTGCCCGCACGAGTGAGGCCTTACAGGAGGCAGAAGTTGCCTATTTTTCCAATTACAAGAAGCGTTACGAATATCATAGGAACCAGGAGAATTGCGTGGCCATTTGACTCCAAGAAATTGCTGAATGGTGGACATCCACTGTATACGTACTCGGTACATTCACTTGTCAAATATATATTTCGCAAGGATCTGAACTCATCACTGTCTAATTTAGGGAGACTAAGAGATAGCGCACTTCTTTAGTGTTACCTCACAACACACTCAATACAGCCGTGAAAACCAGCAAAAGGGTCTTCTTTAATGTCACGGCTCACTAGGAAAGACATTTTTAATATTGTTCTAGAAGCTTGTTCAAAATCTTATCAAGGAGGATATTGAATTATACAATTGTTTTTATCCAGTAAGAAAAAAAATTCCTTAAATATATGATTTACATGTGTTACTTAGAACTTGGTGGTTCTACCCATGGCATTGCATTGGTGCGATGATCCTTCTTTAAGGTACTATTATTTATAAATGAGCTTGGTCTTCATAAACCCAGATTAATATCATTGGATTTTGCAGGGTCTTTTCCTCTTTGGCATAACAATGGAGTAGCTATAATTAATTAAATACTGAGAAAATGTATGTAGGTGACGCATCAATATTTAATAATTTGGAGCAAGCTTCGTCAATGAAAATAATTTATAATTAGCATTCAAAAGTATATCATTGTAACATAAAATTATAAAGTATGAAAAATGTTGTATCGATTTATGCTTATCTACAAACTTTGATATAAAATATCATTTTTATTTTCATGATTTGAATAAATACCATTCTTAGATTATTAGCACTATCCAATTGTCTTTAGTATGGGTGTTATAAATGATTCCTCTAGTCCTTCATTCCTTCAGTTTGAGTCTCTAACTTATGTTTTTTTTCTCAATATTTGCTTGCATGGCATCAATATTTCTCAAAGAAATAACTTAATAATTGGAGTTTTTTATAAACATATTAACAATTTAATTATTTGAAATGTCTCCCTTTTAGTGATTGTAGCATTTTATTTCTGTTTTTTACCAACTTTTTTTTTATTTGGTTGTGTGTCATATTGCACTAAATAATTCTTTTTAAGTACTATCATACATGAGATGAATATCAGTATTGTTTTAAGCAAAAACATGACAAAATATAATGAAATGGTATTTTACCTGTCAAAGCTACCCTTTTGTCAATAAAGAAAAAACCTTTATGGTACATAAAAATGGGAGTGTTCCTTTACTTTAGTAGATCTCCTATGCACTTTCAGGAGATGATCAACATTCTCACCCATCGAATAGTATCTTGACAATTTGCACGTTACGATCAAATCATCCCAAGTACCTTTGTGAATGTACACATGCCACAGCTTTAATGGGACAATTTTTTAAAATTGAGGAAACAATAATATTTTTGATTTGATAACAAAAAAATAATTTCCCTTTAAATTAAATTTTATACTTACAAATATAACTCAAAGTGAATATGTTTTTCATCTTACCCGGTTAAAGAAGAAAACTTGTCTATTTAATCAAATGTTGTCGATGCTGAATCCATTTTATGTTTTGTTTCATTGTAGTCACTCAGTTCTCTAAAACTTACTGGTAAGTAATAGCTATATTATTTCATCTCTGTCTTTTAGCGGCCTTGCTTGAAAGCAACTAGGAGTACAAAGTTGAAAGATTCTAAAGTTTCATGAACGACATAATTCAGTCCATCTAAACTGATATAATTTAATATTAATTTTTAAGCATCACTAAGGAGAAATAAAAATAGTCCATATTTTAGTTGCTAATTCTTCGTTTAAAAGCATAAACAATGGTATGTCAAACGTTACCACGACTATGGAAAGCATAAGAATTTCTAGAATAGGCTGGGAGTTGCATGGAAAAGGGATGGGTCTCCTCTTAATCTTTAGGAAGATCATTTCATCTCTACATCTATGATTCATCAAAGGAGTCAAAGATAACAAACCTTTGAAATGTGTTTGCCTGGCTTAACGATTAGCTTCATCATAGTTCAAACACGTATAAACATTGTTGCCGGAAATTTACAGCACCAAAGATAAAATTCCGGAAAAAAGAGATATGATAGCAGAAGGAAGGGCATACGAAACGATGAGCCAGTTGAAGAAATATATTACAACAGAGACGGCTATGACGATGTGAAGCAGAAAACTCCTTTATTCGCCCAAGCTACACCAAACTGACGGAAAGAAAAGCCGGGGATACCATTCATCTACGGAGTTGAAACAGGGGATTTTACCCAGGGACGGCGCTGTGTTAGCGGAGGACGCCTGATTGACGGGAACCATGTTACCGTTTGATAGGAGGTGAATAAGGACGGTGGTATCTGCGGCGGCGGCGTTGACGGCGAGGAGGAGGTGGTTGTGGCGGCGGGGAAGGCGGTAAGTAATAATGATAGGTAGGCCCTTCGTGAGGGGCCGGCGGGGTGCGCCGCTGCTTCAGAACCCGCCTCGTCCCGCTGTCTTGGTGCTGCGGATCGGCATCTCCGCACGGTCGCGCTGTGGCAGTAATGGACGCGAGATCGAAGAGCGAGATAGCAAAGATGGCTGCGAGTATAAGACAATGAAAACGTCTCCATGAACTCATACTGAAATTCTCTGTCCTTCGCCCTCCCCAAACTCGCCAGTCTCCTCCCGATTTTGTAGTCCGTCGGACATAGAAATGATGACTTTCTCCTCTCTCTTTATCCGCAGAGGGCCCCACACGGTTTGAGCCGGCGATCGTCAGTCTGTGACGAAACAATGTGTCGTGTAAAACTGGAGATAAAACAGTATTGGACGAATTTAGTTTAAAATTAGTATAACACAGCGCAATTTCTGACTTTTTCGTCGACGTGACACAGAAGATGAATACATCTACTTTGGACGTGACACAGAAGATGAACATATCTACTTTGGATGTGACAGAGCCAAGAGAACGCAAAGAAGGACAAAGGGTTAGGTAGAGATGTATTGGGGGTTTCACGCCAGGGGTACTTTCGATGTGATGGAGAACTTGGTCGACCGGAACTAGCTGTATTCAACCGTAAGCATACCAACTCCGACACAAGAGGGCCCCGTTAGTTCGAAAGAGAGAGTATGAGGATTTTAGACGTGATTGAAATGTTGGCCGACATGATTATCGTAATCTAGAGCCTTCGCTTATTGAGCTGTGACTGTTGGATAGCTCTGTAATCTAGAGACCCAGGTTAAACCTCATAATTATAGTGCAACTTTTTCTAAGTAATATCTTGAAAAATAACGCATGCGCATTCCGTTGAGATCTGCAACTCCAACACCCTCAGCTCAAGAACCTTTGTTTTCAGAATAAGCGTTAAACATTGAACCAGTAGACGAAGGTCAGGATCTAAGCATAGGATGACAAAAATGATCACAACTAATCTAGAATTAGAGAAAACATATGATAAACCTGTTGCTTTGAAAGATGAATATCCATTATGGAGAAACATGAGGAATGAGCTTCTTTATGAAACATGACATAATTCCTTTACTGTTGCGCATTATTTAGTTTATATAACTCTCGGAACAGTAGCGACAAGTTTTTTTTTTTTTTTTTTGGGTGTTTCATACTATGATTTTAACGAGAAAACGGATCCATTCATGTTTTGTCTCATAATAAAAGGCTTATCAATTACTCCTTCGAAATCTATCTCTCGTCCCATCAATAGGTTCCTGCTTTTGCATCCAGCAAAGTCAATAACATTCACTAATATTTTACTTTATTTAGGCAAAATTCGATATCTTGAGGCTAGTTTGTTTATATAAATATATAATATCTGCCACAGAAAAAAGTTAGATTGTTGGGTCCAAAGTTCTTTGAACCCTTGCATTACTAAATCCTGTTTACCATAGACTTTTAGTATCATTTAAGTCCGTGAAAATGGTTATCTCAACATTATAAATCATGTTTTCTGAAAAACGCATCAATATTTCATACATTGAGAAGATGCAAGCACATGAACATTTCAAATTTAATGATGATTAAACTAAAAGCTCAACCCAGCACTTTTTGGCTGGCTAACTTGTCTTATTTGTCCTCCAAGGACTATAGAGTAGTGCATTACATCGACATGAAAATAATACTCCTAAAAAAATTTAGCATGACTGAACCTAATATCATGAACATCTTGTTATAATAGCCCTCTGCAACCCTAATGTTGATTAATGACATATAAATTATTATTCTAAAGCACTGACATGTAATTAGGAGCAAAAATTATGCTATCATGTTTATTCCAGATGTTGCAAGAAATTAGCACACTAATTGTATTTTGATTTAATAAGTAATAGAATTTTTTTCGCGTACTAGCCAGAAGCCCAAGTGCCCATTTGAGGCCCAGTATTATGCAATATTAGAAAGAAACGGAAGAGAACAAGCTTAGACTCCATAGTTTTCCTATCATGAACCAAAAGACCCAGGGATGTGTGGGCTGTTTTTGATAGCTGTTAGCGCTCCTACCAAATCTCGCACGTTCTTGGAGAATAATCCGGAGAACAACGCGACATGTCTACCTCAATATGACAACGGCTGCCACTGAAGTCATCAAACAGGTAACATGCAGAATGACCACGCGAAAACGTGTTCCTTCCTCGTGAAATATTCTAAGATGGCTTCGTTGGATACGAGAATTTGATTCGACATTTGGCAGCCATGGACTTCTATCATCCATCCTTCTTACCTGAATTCTGCTCACGCATTTTGGTTCAAAACATTGGTTTTCAAGCTAGAACGGTTGCTACAGCATGTTAAATTGTTGGCATCGAGCAGTAGAGCCAACAATAGAGAAGGGCGAAGGCGGGCGAAGGGGGGCGCAGGCGGGCGCAGCCGCTTGTGTGGTGGGTAGAGAGGGACGGAGGAAGGTAGCGAGAGACAAGTGGAGAGAGAAGGGAAAGACAACCCGTTAGCTGGAGGGAGAGAGGGACGCACGGAAGAAAGAGAGAGAGAGACGGGGGAGGCGGAGGGAGGGAGGGAGCCCTCGAGCGGGGAGAGAGACGAAAGAGAAAAGAGGTAGAAATGAAAAGGGGGGGTGAACTTAGTGTTTAATATTTAGGGTTTGTCAGTCATTTTCAAGTGAAGTGGAGATTAATTTGTTTGCTGCTATAAGCTAAACTTGTTACAGTCGCCTAGACCTAATTCGTCCTTTGAAATGTTTTAGCTAGTACTGAACTAATAAGTGGATGCTGCTTTGTTCGGAAAAAATGAGTCTCCAGAGACAGGCATAGTATGATGAGAGTACATAGAATCGGGTATTTTATAGGGGCCATTAAACCTCCAGGGGAGAAAGCGCGGGAGACGTGCCCCTTATTCACATGACCTGAAAATCAAAAAATACTGAAGTTTAGAGAAATATTCTTCAATATTTTCTGGTCGCCGTGAAAGATCTTAAAACATTAACACCAGGGTGAGTCCCCCTGTGAAGCCGTTGACTGCACCAGATGTGAACCCCTCACCGAACAGGAAGCAGGAGGGGGCCGTGCTTCAGGGGGGAGAGAGAGAGAGTGCATACTTAAACCTGTTCATTCCCGATAACAGGAATGCATTCTTCTCACTTCTAGCTACCCATAGAGTTAGCTTTGACCATTCTTGCGTTCTGTGTTCATCCAAAACTCTCAAATTCTCGGATTTAGACCCAAATCCCGTCTGTTTACAAAGACGGGTACCCATGTTGCAATTTCCGGTCGCGATGTGGTCAGCGGTCGCTGCTGCCATGTTGGCGCGCCCAATCCGTCATGCCCTCGCCACTGGCCGCCACGCCATCCCCAGCCATCATGAGGCAACACGCGCAAGGCACAAAACTCGGGTGCTTCGGGCCCGTTTTCCAACTCTTCTTTCAGAACGGGCCAGGTTCAGGCCTAAGAAGCCTCGGCCCGGCCCATCAAGATGATAGTTCTAGTCGCGGTGCTATTGTGGGAAAAAAAATGAGAATTTTAAATAAAAAGAGTGACTAAATAAGTAAAAATCCTACAGTAATTGAAGGAAATAATATATTAAAAATTAAAAATTATTCATATGATTACATTGCAATTAGAAAAATTCAAATGAAGTAAATAAATTTGCGGCCCAACTGCAGCCCAACTCGGACAGACTCATCTCTCTCTCTCTCTCTCTCTCTCTCTCTCTCGCTCTCTCTCTTTCTGTCTCTATAAATGCCGGAATAGATGGGTTGGAGCTCGACTTGACATGGATTATTCATGTATTTTTGCTCCCCCGCGTGCATCGATATTTCCTCCATTTATGATTCTTTGCTTATGGTTGTGGGCAGTACTATGTTTGCTTTGGATCCAAAGTAGGGTTTATTTCCATGTTTCCGGCCGATTGGCGACTACCACTGGTGCCACAGCCACGCCACCAGAGACGGCGTCGCTCGCCTTCGGAACGTTGCTAGAATTGCTGGTCTGAAGCGTTTGTAGATGTGGGATTCTTCACCTCTTAGTCAGTCATCCCTTGTCCCTCGAGTGAGTCGTTACTCTCGGGTTTTCGATATATTCTATCATCTTCATCGTTACGTTCCATTTCTGTATTTCTTCAGAAAATTTCGTTATTTATCTCTCCGCGAACCGCTGACCCCTCCCCCACTAGTTGTATCTCTGTTAATCATCGGGACGACAAGAGCCGGCGGGCCAATTCTCTGTTCCTCCCTCGCCTGTGGATGCGGGCACTCTGGTCCGCTTGTCCTAATTTCGTGAGGGTGTTGTACGACAATGACCTTAGTTAATGCTCGACTCTGCTTTCTATGGAGGAGCAACCTTTTATTTTGTCTTTGAGGAGCTCATAACATGATCTTTCATCGTAAACTGTAGTTCTGCGTTCTGTCTTGCTGCAATGTGGCACATTTAGTTGATTGAGTAAAATGTTTACTTTGTTTAGAAATCATGGGCTTCGATTCTTTGCCATAATGAATCATTGTTCTGCATAGTGATGGAATAGTTGGGCATCTAAAAAGCTTGTTGTTTGCCTTTTTCCTCTCTGATCTAAGTGTAGGGTGTGATCCTCTCCAGCTTATATACGAACTGTATACTTTTTATTGAATAATTTCATCATGTGGAACTCCTCAGTGCCTTAGATGGCCCTCGGTTGAGATAAATCCTCACTGATTTCTGTATGGTCGATGGCCTTTGGAGTTTTTGCTGGCTATCTAGATTTCTATGAAAATCCTAATCCAGAGAACTATTTATTGAGCTTTTTATGTTGTCAGACAAAGGATCGCTGATATCACTGGGCATCTGTCCATCTAATAGCATTGATATAGACATAGGTTAGGCTTCTCCTATCGTCGTTTTGCTATTTTCCTCTTGCCCTTGATTAATCAACAATTCAGTTTTAGTTAAAACTTACACTTGCCAAGTAAAATATCCTCTCACATAAACCAATTTCGTGATGAAGTTCCCTTTTACTTGCACATTGACGGCCTTCTGAAGAAGTGTACATGTCCGCCGTTCTCCCGCCCTCCCCTCCAATGATGTAAAAGATAGCTTGTGAGCGAAGATCATACTGTGCTACACCTTGCCGAGGAGAGTACGCAAGAAACCTACTACGATGTCCTCTGTGTTGAAGAAACCGCAAGCTATGAGGAAATCCGGGCACATGACAAGGCTGCTGTCCTTCGCTCGCATCCAGCCAAGCTCAGCTCCAAACAGCCAATTGGGATCACCAAGTAGTACGAGAGAGATTTCTGAAGATCCACAAGGCCTGGGAAGTTCTCAGTGATGCAGAGTTGAAATCAGCTTATGACAGGGACTTTAAGGGGTTGAAATATGGGTCATCAGTGTGTGCAGATGAAGTTGAGTTGAAGGATATGAGTGTGGGTGATTGTGGTGACGCTGTGGAGCTCATTTTTCCTTGTAGGTGTGGAGACAATTTATCGATTACCTCGGATGAGCTGGAGGAGATGGGATTTCTTCTGGATGGTAGCAGGATGTTGGAGAGGCAGGATGCCTCTGATTTGGCACCTGTGTCTGTTACAATTTCTTGTTCTTCGTGTTCTTTGATAATTTGGTTAAGAATATATAGTACTTGAATCCTCTCTATGGCGAATTTGTTTAACCTGTTGGCCGATATTGTGTGAGAATTTACTTGATTGATGCTAAAATATGAGAAGTTATGCTATTCGTCGCTTGTATTACGGTCTTATTAATGATTGATGTAGTCCATATTTTCGGGCATGTATGTCTGAAAATCTACCGAAGATTGCTATTTTTACTTTTCATGGGGAAAGAATGTGGATCAATTTGTCAGTTTCGCCAGACACCCTTGTATTATTGTAAGCATTTGGAACTGCTCATGTGACCACATTTTAACAAATTCCAATTAAAAATTCCGATTAATATAATTGGCAGAGATGTTAATGTAGCCAGGGCCAGTTGAAGTCATCAATGATTCACCAATGGTGATGGCAAAGTGCTGTCCAAAACAAGTAATAGACCATTCTTTATAAGTATCATCACGCATGATGTAAGCATACATATCAAGAACCACATTTCATCATTAAAAGAATTTTTTAACGTTTATGGAAAAATAAAACTGTAAAATAGAGTAAGAATATGCTTGCCAGCTTTTCTTTCACAACAATCATGGAAGATGCTGAATAATGTCACTCATAATAAAATGTGAACCATGATGCAACTAATGATGAATAAATTTAAGATGTACGCGGGAAAGAATAATAAATGATTTTGTATCTAATGTCACGCTTTTAAGAAGTATGCACAGTTTCGTGTCTTAATTTTTAAAATGTAAAAAAAATGCTGATAGTGAGTTCATTGCAAAATAACTCATGGCGTACAGTTCTCTCTCTCTCTCTCTCTCTCTCTCTCTCTCTCTCTCTCTCTCTCTCTCTCTCTCTCTCTCTCTCTCTCTCTCTCTCTCTCTCTCTCTCTCTCTCTCTCTCTCTCTCTCCCTATTTATATATATATATATGAAAATGCGTACATAAATGTATAAGACCCTGCTCTAGCTCACCGCACAGTGCGGTCCTTACCCTTTTTCATCCCTCCTGAATCGAATACTTTTAGAACAGAAGATGTGTCTCTGGAGGCCTAAGATTGTAGTGGCGCTCTTGTTCAGCTGGGCCTTCATCTCATTGACATGGGCCTCTTTTGTTATAGAAGACTACGAGGGTCCTAGAATCGGGCTGGAGACGTTGAGAAGTGAGGAAGAGATCTCATGGTTATACGATGAGTGGCTAATGACGGTCGACAGGACTTACGAGGAACCTGGGGAGAGGCAAAGGAGGTTTGAGATCTTCAAGGATAACCTTCTCTTCATTGACGAACACAATCATCCCAAGAACAACCACACCTACACCATCGGTCTTAACGAGTTGGCTGATCTCTCTTACGAAGAGTATCAAGCCAAGTACCTCATCCCTTCGATAGGCGAGAACCCCCTCTTTTCCTCTGGGCGCGGTGACGAGCTTGCAACTGAAGAGCGCGGCGATGGAATCCTGGAACAAGTACCCGATTTCAAAGACTGGCGGATTGATGGTTCGGTCAGCGCTGTCATCAACCAAGGGTCCTGCGGTAAGTTTGTTCTTTTTTTTAATCTCACTTGTAGCGCCGTCAACCTCTCCAGGGCTTCACGAGGACTGGCTTGTTGTCTGACGGCATCAGCCACGCTAAAACACAAGGAATCACATGAATCCACACATTAAATATCATCTACTTCAGACTTAAGCATGTTAACTGTGATAAAAGGGAGTTGCTGGGCTTGGCGGCTGCTGCTGCTGTGGAGGGACTTCATCACATTCGTACAGGACAAATGATAAGAGTTTCCGCGCAGCAGCTTGTTGACTGCGATTCGCGTTCCCTCGGTTGTGTTGGAGGGTGGCAGAGTCGCGCCATTTCCTATATTCAACAGAATGGCGGCGTTGATTCCGCGGAGAATTACCCCTACACAGGGAAAAAGGGCGTGTGTAGAACGAACAGCGTAATACAGCTAAATACTTGCCTTTTCTTCTTTCCTACTTGTCCAACATTTTTTTACATCGGGGTGCTGCTTGTCTTCAAACGATAACTCCTCTCTCTGTTATCTCCTGGAAGGCTAAACTCGTTTCGGTGAATGGGTGGAAGAAAGTCCCCGAGATCTATGGTGAAATGAAACTAAAACAGGTAGTTGCTGCACAACCTGTCGCTGTTGCCACAGATGCACTCAACAGAATTTTTCAATTGTACAAAGGGGTAAGAAATACTGCATATTACGGATTTGTCGATGCATTATCAGTATATTTGACACAATGAGAAAATTATTTTAGGAACTATTCATAAAACTGTTTAAACAAATGTTGAAATAAGGAACCGTTTAGAGGGAAGATAATTTATACATGCATAGAAGTGTATAAGAATTTTGGACCTTTTGTCACCTATAAGTGTAGCATTGGACGCTTTGTCTTCTTGTACTATTGATCAAGTAATATTGTCTAAACGTATTAGTATCATAGCCAGAAGAAAGGTTACTGTTGTTCTAAATTTCAGTGGCATGAATGCATGAGAATAATGTAAGTTTATATATTTCTATAGAATGACGCCTAGGTATCCTTACATCTAATCTTCTATAGATTGTATTTATTCAATGATTAAGATTCATTGGACATACATACAAAATCAATTACTACGATTCAACAACACTTTGATATTGGATTTTTTTCATGGAAGGCTTGAACCATTAGTGTAGATAAATTAAGTCTTGTACCTATTTAAATTTTTTAAGTTAAATTGATAGGCTTAAGATTGCATTGGATCTTTCTATCTCATGCGAATGAACGAATTTTTTAAATTTCATTACATAAGAATTCATTTTTTAAAAAAATTACGTTTTATGAGAATATTTAATAGATAAAATGTATTAATTGGTAATAGGTTCGTGTACATTATAGATACATTTTTTTATTTTTTTATATTTAATTCTTAATGGTTTATGTTTCTTACATTGATTATTTTTAGTTCTTTTAGATGGTGTTGACTATATTTATAAGTTTCTTACATTGATTATTTTTATTTATTTTAGATGGTGTTGACTATATTTATAATTTAAACTTACATATAAGCAAAAAGTGAGAAATTGTGTTTTCTTATGCAGGGTGTATTCAATGACAAATGTAACATAACAACAAATCACGTCATGGCTGTTGTAGGATATGGTGTTGAGAATGGGCAAGACTATTGGCTAGTCAAAAATTCTTGGGGCTTTAATTGGGGAGAAAATGGATATGTGAAAATGGCACGCAATATCAACCAAATTTATGGATTGTGTGGAATTGTGACAGCGGCCATTTATCCTTGGTAATTTTAGGTTCGGTCTTCAAAGCAAATAGGGGAGCCTTTGGCATCGGAAAATAAACCTCTTTACTTTCCACACTCCCAAACATGTTCTTGAACAAGCCTTTCTATACAGGATTTCTATGATATTTTAATATGCTACCTTGTGGTCAGGTAACTCTGTACTATTTGTTTTGAAGAGCTTGTATGAGGAACCAAGAGATGGTGAATTGGTCTTTTTCAAATCATTCTTGGTTTTCTGAATTTTACTCAAATTATGAAATCCAAAATTTATGGTGGTTCAACTAAGCTGGGTACTCTACTTTCTCAAGTATTAATTCTTACAATAAAAATCCTTACATATTATGTAGTAGACCTTTGAAATTCAATTGCACGTATGACATCAAAGCAGATGTAACATTGGTGAGGGAGTGCATCATGGCTAGTATGGGAGAGAAGAGTGCCCACAAGAAACAGAGAGGAAACATTTTCTTAGGAGAAATTCAATCTTTTGATTGTCATCTTCTCGGGAAAACATGAAATTGCTATTTGACCAAGACCACCGCCAGTACGGACAAATCAGTTGTCGTTCCGCACTAGGTTATCGTAGAACTGTTGATGAGTTCACCTTGGACATTGATCTCGAGCTTCAACGGACTAATGCTATTTTTCTTTCATGTACACGTCATGGCACCAGAGCAGCCTCTTTGAGATCACCCCGTTGGGTGGTACATCATTACAGCTCGTCCTTTCCCTCTTCTACCTCGTATGGCAGGGCCGTTTACAGAGTTCTTCATGTACATCCACTGCAAATGAATTATACCCGCACTTAAGAGTGAGAGAAAGAGAGTGGGGGAGAGAGTGGAGGAAGAAAGAGAGAGAGAGAGGAAGAGAGGAAAGACCGAAGAGAAAAGACATCGACACCGATGATTACAGCATGAGAGGAAGAAATGGGAGAGAAAAATAAAGTGAGAGAAAGATACGCAGTCAAATAGAGTGTGAGGGAGAGATGAAGAGAGATAAAGAAGGGAGAGGTAGAGAGAAAGGGGAGATACACAGACTCTCAATTACTCAAGGGAGTTCAACCATTGGGTAGTAAATATTGTAAATATTTTGACGAAAAGTAAAACCTGATGTATATAGAAATATTAATCAATGACAAATAAAATACCATATAGATGATATCTATGTTTTGGATACAATATTGTAGACTAATAATTTCTTCTATTAATTCAATGGTTGAATAATTATATTGAAATTTTCTGTTAATAAATTTATAAATTTTTAGAAGCCAATAATAAATTTCTATTTATACATATAAAATGGTGATGAATGGAGAAGTTCTATCTACCTCATAAACTGATAACACTGTAGTCATTTCATAAAATGTAGGAGGCGTTTCTAGAAAACATTCACTTTCTGCTCTCTCTATGTATACATATGAAACGCTTATTTAAGTTCATTCCTTGAGAAGTTGTAGGTTATTCAGAAAAATTCAACAAAAGGCCGAAGTCTAGAACTCAAGCAAAGTTATACCCTTCAAGTTATTGAAATAGAAAGACAATAAGAACACAAGTCTTATAAATTGTGGGGTTAATAACTAGTAAACATAATAGGTGATATGTAATATTGTTTACATAACTATCTATCACTAAATTACTTGCCAATTTTTTAGTAATCCTTTAATTATTTTTTTACTTGATGTTTATAGTTGACTAAGCTAATTCACTAAAAGTTACATTAACATACAAATAATCCTTCAAAAAATGATAGGCTACATCAACAAAGAGTTGCAAAATTGGTTTTGTTCTGAAACAATTGAAATAGCTAATAATTCGTCATCAGCCACGACATGGTAAGGCTAGGGATTGGTTCAAAATGGATATTTTTATTTTTATAATTTCATTTATCTCCATGTATAAAAGGGTATGTCATCTGACGCATTCAGACGAGATCCACGAAGGATGGACTCATAAAGTAAATAAATGTAGAATTAAATACAGGGTACACTTCTAATACGTACAAGATAATTTATAATCCATAGGCAACTCTCCAGCATACACCAAGTTTCTATTTTTGGCATTTTCGTCTTCGTAATCAGCAATTTTTTTTCTTTTTTTGCTTTTTAATTAGTTTTGTTCCGGACAAGGCCATCCTCTAGCCCTGTTTCCCTACTCATCTGGAAATCTTCCGGCTCGCGTCACCTCGTCGTCCTGTTGCACAGCGTCGGTCAACCCGTTGATCGATCCCTTCCGAAGATTATCCGCGCCCCCTCTTCCTCCCGCGGCAAATCTGACTGTAGGCGACAAGACGCAGATGGGGTCTGGATCGAAGGAAGCAGAGGGTGATGCCGGCGCGACCGAGGGAGGGGCGGTGGAGCCACCGGGAAGAAGGTTTCGGTACAATTCTCCCGTGGCCCAGGTCGTTCTGATCGAGCTCGTCTGCTTCCGCTGTCCCGGCATGTTCAACGCCCTCTCCGGGATGGGCGGCGGAGGCAAGGTCGACCACGATGCCGCCAACGACGCCAACACCGCCCTCTACACCACATTCGCCGTCTTCGGCGTCCTCGGTGGCGGCGCCTGCAACCTCTTCCGCCCCCGGCTTACCCTCATCGCCGGCTGCTCCTCTACGCCGGATCGTTTCTGTACTACAACCACCGCCACGACCAGACCTTCGCTGTCGTCGCCGGGGCGGTGCTCGGCGTCGGTGCCGGCCTCCTCTGGCCGGGGCAGAACGCCATCATGACCTCCTACCCGCCGCCCAGCCGCAAGGGCTCTTACATCGCCGTCGTCTGGAGCATCTTCAACAAGGGGGGGGGGGCGGCGTCATCGGTGGTCTCTTCCCCTTCGTCCACAACTACCGTCGCACCACCGCGGCCTCGGTCAACGACGGCACCTACATAACCTTCATGTACTTCATGTCCGCGGGAGCCCTGCTCACCCTCGCCGTGCTCCCCGCCAGCCGCGTCGTCCGCGACGACGGCAGCCGCGTCTCCGCCGTCCGGCACTCCAACGTGTTCACCGAGGCCGTGAAGATCGGCAAGCTGTTCGGTGACTGGCGGATGCTGCTGATCGCGCCGGCGGCGCGGGCCAGAAACTTCTTCTACACCTACCAGTTCAACAGCATCAACGGCTGCTCTTCAACCTGCGCACCTCCGGCCTGAACCACGTCTTCTACCGGGGGGCGCAGATGGTGAGCTCTGCGGGCATCCGCTGTGTGCTCGACGGAAGCCCCAGTGGCCGCGCTGGGAACCGCCTCGTGGAGCGGCGCCCTCGCCAACCAGCTGAGGTGCCCCGACGGGAAGTGGGAATAGAAGCTCGACTTCAAGGACTCCGGCGAGGCCTACGCCGGGCCCTTCCTCCTCTACTTCAGCTGCGCCCTACTGGACGCCGCCTTCCAGAGCCTGGTCTACTGGCTCATCGGTGCCCTGGCCGACGACTCCCGCGCGCTCAGCCGATACAGCGGCTTCTATAAAGTGGTGCAGAGCGCCGGGGCGGCGGTCGCCTGACAGGTCGACAAGCGCCGGACGACGCTGCTCGCGCAGCTCACCGCGAACTGGGCCCTCACTACGGTGAGCTTCCCCCTCCTGGCGCTCCTGGTGGCCCTCGCCGTGGAGGACGAAGATGCCCCCCCGGCCTCCGGCGACTCGGAGAGAACCGCCCCACCCGTCGCCCATCGATCCGAGTCCCCTCCTCTAAAGCCGGCGCTCTGTTGGGCGGAGTAACTAGATCTCGGAATCAAGACTGTTTTTTAAGACCCGCGTGGACTTGTGATCGCCAGCCAGAAAGAAAAGGTGTTGGTTTGGCTGCCCGCCGGGAAAAAAGCCCGGCCACCCAGCTTGTGTCTGAGCTTTCCGCCGAGTCGTCGTGCCGCCCCCCCCAAAACCAAACCTTCGAGGATGAGATGAGGGTCACCCAAGAACTGAGGAATTCATGGACGAACGAGCAATGAGTGGATCACATATCATCCTTCGCAGATGGAAGGGCAACACTGGTTCATCGTCGCCATCTCCGCGAACCATAGAGAGCGGAAGGAGAGAACAGCGGAGATGGATTGGGAGGAGGGTGACCGACAGAACAGAAACGTAGTCCAGTGGATGCAGCAAGCAAATAGGTCGATCGAAGATCAGACGATTTCTGCCCTCTCGAGGGCCACAGACGGCCGCACTCCCGGCGCCAGTGCCGCAGCACCGCCCGGGGCAGCGCCCTGTCGCGGCTGCGGCGGGTGGGAGGAGAGCCGCTTCATGAGGGACTGTATCCGGACGAGGTACTCCCTGGCCTGCGCCAGAGCCTCGGCCTCCACCTCACCCAGCTGTGCACACAGCCGCTCCTCGGCCTCCTCGGACATCCGCAGGCGCTCTCGCGCCACCACGAGGTCCCTCCGCGCCGCCTCCTCCCTCTCCGGGCTCCGCAGCAGCTCCGCCTCCAGAGCCTCGTTCTTCCTCCTCATCCTCTCCATCTCCTCCGTCTCCCTCTTCGTCAAACGCGGCCTCGTTCACCGCTGCCCCCTGCGCCTGGAGCTGGCGGGATGTCCTGGCCACGCCCGGCGCCATCGCCGAGGGATGCACCCACCAAACTGTCAACAGCGGAATCGCGGGGGGAAACGGAAATCGAATTCCACGCATTTTCTTCTAAAAGAACCAATAATGGGCGTGTTTCAGCTCTACCAATCTGCACCAGTTGTGTCGTTGGTCATTTGGAGTGCAGAAAGGACGGGAATGAAGTGGGGGATGAGAGAGGGAGCGAGACCGCTACGTTGACTTTTACCCATGTGTTCTAATGTAACCTTCTATATATGTTTTAAAAAATAAAATCTCCAATAGACTTTTGAGGAGACTTTTAATTATTTTCAGGCCGACTTCTCATAAGACCACCCGGGGTCAACATTATTTTTACAATGGAGCACTTTTGTGAGTCTCGCGCAAATATAAATATATTTCATTCCATAATTACGAATCTACGTGGTGAACCTCATTGGAGAGTTTATGCGATTAACCTCAGTAGAAGGTCAATGAAATTTCGTGAGCTTAAGCTTATTTCCAAGTACATGGGATAAATAGCATGACGACCTTCTAGGATGAAATCCATTCGAGTCCATTGAATAAAAGCTTGATTCTATTACTTTTTTGAATGAGCCAGTTTATAGAATGTTTTCATTAATCGAGGCCGTTAGGTCCTAGACTCCCATGTGAGCTACATAAGGACTTCACGTGGGACCCATTGATATGATGCATGCTCCTTAAGCACATCGTGGACATTAGATCATATAGGATGCCTGTTATGAGCCGATTATCACCGTGGTAGTTCCAAAAACATTATGTTCATTTAAGGTCATATGACCTCAATGCTATTGTGTATAGTCTCATATGACATATCTTATAAGTACTAAGCATGATGCCCATAAATAAAACTAAATGAGGCATTGGACACAAGCCTTTTTTCGTAGGATCCTATTAAGAGGGTGAGATAACGAGACAAGTAATGCTAATTAAGCCAACCAGAGATAAAAATCATGGGGAGATGAAATTTCATACCAAATTGTATTACTTTCTTTAGTAAGTGACGCATTGCCCCCTCCGCTTGCTTCGATATTTCCTCCATGTATGATCCTTTGCTTCTGGTGGTGGGTCGTTACTTTCCATCCAAGGTAGGGTTTATTTCCGTGTTTCCGGCCGATTGGCGACTACCACTGGTGCCACAGCGACCGCCACCAGAGACGGCGTCGCTCGCCTTCGGAACGTTGCTAGAATTGCTGGTCTGAAGCGTTTGTAGATGCGGGATTCTTCACCTCTTAGTCAGTCATCCCTTGTCCCTCGAGTGAGTCGTTACTCTCGGGTTTTCGATATATTCTATCATCTTCATCGTTATGTTCCATTTCTGTATTTCTTCAGAAAATTTCGTTATTTATCTCTCCGCGAACCGCTGACCCCTCCCCCACTAGTTGTATCTCTGTTAATCATCGGGACGACAAGAACCGGCGGGCCAATTCTCTGTTCCTCCCTCGCCTGTGGATGCGGGCACTGTGGTCCGCTTGTTCTAATTTCGTGAGGGTGTTGTACGACAATGACCTTAGTTAATGCTCGACTCTGCTTTCTATGGAGGAGCAACCTTTTATTTTGTCTTTGAGGAGCTAATAACATAATCTTTCATCGTAAACTGTAGTTCTGCGTTCTGTCTTGCTGCAATGTGGCACATTTAGTTGATTGAGTAAAATGTTTACTTTGTTTAGAAATCATGGGCTTCGATTCTTTGCCATAATGAATCATTGTTCTGCATAGTGATGGAATAGTTGGGCATCTAAAAAGCTTGTTGTTTGCCTTTTTCCTCTCTGATCTAAGTGTAGGGTGTGATCCTCTCCAGCTTATATACGAACTGTATACTTTTTATTGAATAATTTCATCATGTGGAACTCCACAGTGCCTTAGATGGCCCTCGGTTGAGATAAATCCTCACTGATTTCTGTATGGTCGATGGCCTTTGGAGTTTTTGCTGGCTATCTAGATTTCTATGAAAATCCTAATCCAGAGAACTATTTATTGAGCTTTTTATGTTGTCAGACAAAGGATCGCTGATATCACTGGGCATCTGTCCATCTAATAGCATTGATATAGACATAGGTTAGGCTTCTCCTATCGTCGTTTTGCTATTTTTCTCTTGCCCTTGATTAATCAACAATTCAGTTTTAGTTAAAACTTACACTTGCCAAGTAAAATATCCTCTCACATAAACCAATTTCGTGATGAAGTTCCCTTTTACTTGTACATTGACGGCCTTCTGAAGAAGTGTACATGTCCGCCGTCCTCCCGCCCTCCCCTCCAATGATGTAAAAGATAGCTTGTGAGCGAAGATCATACTGTGCTACACCTTGCCGAGGAGAGTACGCAAGAAACCTACTACGATGTCCTCTGTGTTGAAGAAACCGCAAGCTATGAGGAGATCCGGGCACATGACAAGGCTGCTGTCCTCCGCTCGCATCCAGCCAAGCTCAGCTCCAAACAGCCAATTGGGATCACCAAATAGTACGAGAGAGATTTCTGAAGATCCACAAGGCCTGGGAAGTTCTCAGTTATGCAGAGTTGAAATCAGCTTATGACAGGGACTTTAAGGGGTTGAAATATGGGTCATCAGTGTGTGCAGATGAAGTTGAGTTGAAGGATACGAGTGTGGGTGATTGTGGTGACGCTGTGGAGCTCATTTTTCCTTGTAGGTGTGGAGACAATTTATCGATTACCTCGGATGAGCTGGAGGAGATGGGATTTCTTCTGGATGGTAGCAGGATGTTGGAGAGGCAGGATGCCTCTGATTTGGCACCTGTGTCTGTTACAATTTCTTGTTCTTCGTGTTCTTTGATAATTTGGTTAAGAATAGATAGTACTTGAATCCTCTCTATGGCGAATTTGTTTAACCTGTTGGCCGATATTGTGTGAGAATTTACTTGATTGATGCTAAAATATGAGAAGATATGCTATTCGTCGCTTGTATTACGGTCTTTTTAATGATTGATGTAGTCTATATTTTTTAACGTTTATGGAAAAATAAAACTGTAAAATAGAATAAGAATATGCTTGCCAGCTTTTCTTTCACAACAATCATGGAAGATGCTGAATAATGTCACTCATAATAAAATGTGAACCATGATGCAACTAATGATGAATAAATTTAAGATGTACGCTGGAAAGAATAATAAATGATTTTGTATCTAATGTCACGCTTTTAAGAAGTATGCACAGTTTCGTGTCTTAATTTTTAAAATGTAAAAAAAATGTTGATAGTGAGTTCATTGCAAAATAACTCATGGCGTACAGTTCTCTCTCTCTCTCTCTCTCTCTCTCTCTCTCTCTCTCTCTCTCTCTCTCTCTCTCTCTCTCTCTCTCTCTCTCTCCATATATATATATATATATATCTGAAAATGCGTACATAAATGTATAAGACCCTGCTCCAGCTCACCGCACAGTGCGGTCCTTACCCTTTTTCATCCCTCCAGAATCGAATACTTTTAGAACAGAAGATGTGTCTCTGGAGGCCTAAGATTGTAGTGGCGCTCTTGTCCAGCTGGGCCTTTATCTCTTTGACATGGGCCTCTTTTGTTATAGAAGACTACGAGGGTCCTAGAATCGGGCTGGAGACGTTGAGAAGTGAGGAAGAGATCTCATGGTTATACGATGAGTGGCTAATGACGGTCGACAGGACGTACGAGGAACCTGGGGAGAGGCAAAGGAGGTTTGAGATCTTCAAGGATAACCTTCTCTTCATTGACGAACACAATCATCCCAAGAACAACCACACCTACACCATCGGTCTTAACGAGTTGGCTGATCTCTCTTACGAAGAGTATCAAGCCAAGTACCTCATCCCTTCGATAGGCGAGAACCCCCTCTTTTCCTCTGGGCGTGGTGACGAGCTTGCAACTGAAGAGCACGGCGATGGAGACCTGGAACAAGTACCCGATTTCAAAGACTGGCGGATTGATGGTTCGGTCAGCGCTGTCGTCAACCAAGGGTCCTGCGGTAAGTTTGTTCTTTTTTTTAATCTCACTTGTAGCGCCGTCAACCTCTCCAGGGCTTCACGAGGACTGGCTTGTTGACTGACGGCATCAGCCACGCTAAAACACAAGGAATCACACGAATCCACACGTTAAATATCATCTACTTCAGACTTAAGCATGTTAACTGTGATAAAAGGGAGTTGCTGGGCTTGGGCGGCTGCTGCTGCTGTGGAGGGACTTCATCACATTCGTACAGGACAAATGATAAGAGTTTCCGCGCAGCAGCTTGTTGACTGCGATTCGCGTTCCAGCGGTTGTGAGGGCGGGTCGCAGAGTCGCGCCATTTCCTATATTCAACAGAATGGCGGCGTTGATTCCGCGGAGAATTACCCCTACACAGGGAAAAAGGGCGTGTGTAGAACGAACAGCGTAATACAGCAAAATACTTGCCTTTTCTTCTTTCCTACTTGTCCAATATTTTTTTACATCGGGGCGCTGTTTGTCTTCAAAAGATAACTCCTCTCTCTGTTATATCCTCGTAGGCTAAACTCGTTTCGGTGAATGGGTGGAAGAAAGTCCCCGAGATCTATAGTGAAATGAAACTAAAACAGGTGGTTGCTGCACAACCTGTCGCTGTTGCCACAGATGCACTCAACAGAATTTTTCATTTGTACAAAGGGGTAAGAAATACTGCATATTACAGATTTGTCGATGCATTATCAGTATATTGTGTATTTGACACAATGAGAAAATCGTTTTAGGAACTATTCATAAAACTGTTATTTAAACAAGTTTTCAAATAAGGAACCGTTTAGAGGTAAGATAATTTATGCATGCATAGAAGTGTATAAGAATGTTAGACCTTTTACCAACTATAAATGTAGGATTGGACGTTTTGTCTTATTGTACTAGTATAATATTGATCAAGTCATATTGCCCAAACGTATTAGTATCATAACAAGAACAACGGTTAGTGTGGTTCTAAATTTCAGTGGCATGAATGCGTGAGAATAATGTAAGTTTATACATTTCTATGGAGTGACTCCTATGTATCCTTATATCTAATCTTCTATAGATTGTGTTTATACAATGATTAAGATCCATTGGACATACATACAAAATCAACTATTAAGATTCGAGAGCACAAAATTGATATTGGATTTTTTTCATGGAAGGCTTGAACTGTTAGTGTAGATAAATTAAGTTTCGTATCTATTTAAATATCCTTTTAAGTATGCAATCGATAGCACCATTTGAAAGCCCTTGACAGTCTTATCAATGAGGGTATTGAATTATCTGTTTTTTTTTATTTTCCTTGTAACAAAAATAATGCTACATATCCAGTGAAAGATGCATTTTTTGAAATTAGAAGGTTAACCTATAGCATTGTTTCAGTGAGAGAGGGATTTGTCAACCATAACGAGCTTTAGTCGATGCTAAAAATCCATAAGCGAATATCAATATCATAGAATTTAGCTGAAACACCTTACTAATGTGGATTGAGGTAACTTAAAAATCAGAATATAAAATTTGGGAGATGGCTAGGATTAATTTAAAGAGAAAACTTTATGGAATGAGATAGATAAGCATACAATAAATCGCATAATGCTTCTTCATCAATGTCATTGTACAAGAACTTGTGTTTATTATTATAAAATATGCTGCAGCAAAAACATGATTAGCAACGAATGTGTCATGCACACTTTATTTAATTTAAAAAAATTAATTGTATCCTTGAAACTATGGATGATAAACATATTTTTTTATGAATTAAATGGATGGGCTTAAGATTGCACCGAATCTTTCTATGTCATGCAAATGAATGATCTTTTTAAATTTAAGCACAAAAGAACTCATTTTTTAAAAATTTTACTTTGAGAAAAAAGAGTTAAAGATATAAAATGTATTAATTGGTAACAAGTTCATGCACATTATAGATATATTTTTACATTTTTTATATGTAATTCTTAATGATTTATGTTTCTAACATTGATTATTTTTCTTTTCTTTTACATGGTGTCGACTATATTTATAATTTAAACTTACATATAAGCAAAAAGTGAGAATTTGTGTTTTCTTTTGCAGGGTGTATTCAATGACAAATGTAACACAACGGTAAATCATGCCATGACTATTGTCGGATATGGTGTTGAAAATGGGCAAGACTATTGGCTAGTCAAAAATTCTTGGGGCTTTAATTGGGGAGAAAATGGATATGTGAAAATGGCACGCAATGTCAACCAAATTTATGGATTGTGTGGAATTTCATCTGTGGCCGTTTATCCTGTGAAATTTTAGGGTCGGTCTTCAAAGCAAATAGGGGAGCCTTTGACATGGAAAATAAACCTCTTTACTTTCCACACTCCCAAACATGTTCTTGAATAAGCCTTTCTATGCAGCATTTCTATGATATTTTAATATGCTACCTTGTGGTCAGGTAACTCTGTACTATTTGTTTTGAAGAGCTTGTATGAGGAACCAAGAGATGGTGAATTGGTCTTTTTCAAATCATTCTTGGTTTTCTGAATTTTACTCAAATTATGAAATCCAAAATTTATGGTGGTTCAACTAAGCTGGGTACTCTACTTTCTCAAGTATTAATTCTTACAATAAAAATCCTTACATATTATGTAGTAGACCTTTGAAATTCAATTGCACGTATGACGTCAAAGCAGATGTAACATTGGTGAGGGAGTGCATCATGGCTAGTATAGGAGAGAAGAGTGCCCACAAGAAACAGAGAGGAAACATTTTCTTAGGAGAAATTCAATCTTTTGATTGTCATCTTCTCAGGAGAACATGAAATTACTATTTGACCAAGACTACTGCCAGTATGGACAAATCAGTTGTCGTTCCACACTAGGTTATCGTGGAATTGTTGATGAGTTCACCTTGGACATTGATCTCGAGCTTCAACAGACTAATGATATTTTTCTTTCATGCACTACTTTTATGGTTTTTGAACTTAATGTCATGGGACTAGAGCAGCCTCTTTGAGATCACCTCATTGGGTGCTACATCATTACAGCTCGTGCTTCCCCTCTTCTACCTTGTATGGCAAGACTACTTACACAGTCCAAGTAACTTCCGCTGCAAATGAAGTATACCCACACTTAAGAGTGAGAGAGAGAGTGGGGGAGAGAGTGGAGGAAGAAAGAGGGAGAGAGGGAGGAGCAAGGAGAAAACACTTAGACACAGACGGTTACAGTGTGAGAGGAAGAAATGGGAACAGAAAAATAAAGTGAGAGAGAGCTAGGTAGTCAAAGAGAGAGAGAGTGTGAGTGTGTGTGAGAGAGAGGGAGAGAGATCAATAGATAGAGATAGTTGAAAAAGGGAGAGGTAGAGAGAAAGGAGAGACACACATACTCTCAATTACTCAAGGGAGTTTAACCATAGGATAGTGAATATTTTATGATCTTAAATATTTTGAATATTTTGGCAAAAAATAAAACTAGATGTATATAGAAATATTAATTAATGACAAATGAAATACCATATAGATGATATCAAACATATGTTTTGGGTACACTATTGTACACTAATAATTTCTTCTATTAATTCAATGGTTGAATAATTATATTGAAATTTTCCATTTATAAATTTATAAATTGTTAGAAGCTAATAATAATTTTCTAATTATACATATAAATGGTGACGAATGGAGAAGTTCCATATACTTCATAATCTGATAACAATTTTTTCAGTTAATAAAATGTAGGAGGCCTTTCTAGAAAACATTGACTTTCATCTCTCTCTATCTTCAAGAAGGTCCCATGCAGTTTTGCACTTTTGGTTGCCATGCCAAAGAAGATTTTGATGGTCGTGTGAATACATCTCCTTGAGGCATGACAGAGCTACTTAAAAATTCAAGGAGAAGGCAAGTCAGTAGAGATGCATTGGGGGGTTTCATCCAAGCGGCACTTTCCATGTCAACCTGAACTAGCTGTATTCAACTCGAAGCAAAGCCACCCTAACTCAAGAGGTCCCTATCCTTTCCAAAGAGAGAGTATGAGGATTTAACACATGATTTTAATGTTAACCAACATGTCTATCATAATGTCAACCTCATAAAGTTTATATTTTTTTTAACAAGAAAGTCTTAGATTGGTTATCCATGCCCATGAAGGTTGTAGCTAATGGATTGCGTTTGCTGTTGAAGATGACCTAAGAACCTTGATTTATTGAACTGACTCAAGGTGGCTAATGGCTAGCTATATAATATAGAGAATCAAATTAAATGTTGAAATTAGAGTACAACATTTTCTTAAAAAAATTAAAAACTATTACATGCATACTTCATTAAATCTCAAAATCACTAAAATCTCTAAAAATATGTCTCTGATTTAATTTAAAATCTCTGATTCTCTAGTTGCTGTAAGCATCAGTTCTAATGACTACTAGCAGCAACAACTTTGTCATGGCATGCATTCCATGTGACATTATTCTATGTTCCTTGAACTTGTAGAGTTTTTTCTTAGCTGATTTTCTCAATATCCTAATCAATCAAATGAGGACAACTCTGGTTTACAAACTTATTTTTGATAAAATAAATTTTAGGTCAATCGTTGATAGTCATCCTCTACTGTCAATATAAGATAACAAATAGGAAAGTTAGACATGCTGAAAAGCGTGAAAGACTTTATTACTTGGGATATTAGGTGAAGTCTACACTGTGGAATCATAACCGCCAAGAAGACGTATAACTACTATTTTGGCAAAACCCAAGAACTTTTACTTATAACATAATTTTCTAGGACATCCTTCTTCAAGACAATGAAGACTATATTTTTAAAATTATTTTCTAATGTGAATGTTGAAATTTTCAAGTGTCATACTTATGAATTGATGAAACATAAATGTAACTCACTTTTGTTAAATAGTAAATGAGGTACTATTTAATTTCACTCATTCAAAGTGACATTTGGAGGCTTTCATCTACTCCTAATATCTTGGGAGCAAGATGGTTACTAGCATTTATGGATGATTTTTCATGAAAAATTTAGATTTACTTATTGAATCATAAGTTAGATGTCAATAAGGTACTTCAATAATTTTTTCATTAATAAAGATTAATTCAAGACTAAAAAATTAAGATTTTTTTATTAGATGAGACTATTTCAATCAGATAATCACATAATATTTGCAAAAGGAAGAATATATTCATGAATCCTCATATGGCAACTATATACAACATTAATGTGTTAAATTTTTTTTGGGAGAAACAACCTTGGCAACCACTCACCTTATAAATCAACTATCAACCTAAATTTTCGAATTTAAGAGTCCATTAATTTTTTTCTCATTTCATTTTCTATATATCCAAATAGTGAATACTTTAGTTTCTATGAGTTTTGCATTTGATCCATGATCTAGGATTTTTATTTTTGAGTTTGATCCATAATTAGGATTGAGCCAATAGAAAGTTTGATCCATATGCATCAAGATGTGCCTTCAATGGATATTTAGATACTAAGAAGTATAAGTACTAGAAACCCTATGAATTTTTTTTTTTGTTCCAATTCACGTAACCTTTATGAAACATGAATATTTTTTTATAATAATTTTTATTTAAGGAAAAAAAGAATTACAAATAATAATAGAGAATAAGAGATAGTAAACTATGCTTTCAATCTCACCTTTAGAGGAATCTACACCTCTAAAAGTGACCTTACATGAATCTTGATAAGTCTTCATTATCATGAGTTAATAATTAATTAATAATATAATTTTAGTCTTAATTCATGATAAATAGACTTATATTTATGTTAAATTATAAAAAATGTTTTTTAGTTAATTAATGTAGTTTTTTGGTTAATTATGTAATTTTATACAAATTTATATAATTTTTATAATCCTATTTTTGAGATAAATAAAGAAAAATAGAAAAAAATAAAAAGATAAAAAAAAAGGAGTAACCTACCAGCTAATTAGGCCCACAAGTAGGTCAGAAGCATAGTCGGGTGGAGCCGTGAGCAAGGGCTCAAGCAACTAAGGATAGACCGATAAGGGACACATGTGCGTCACTCCCCTTCCATGTCACTAGTGACCAACCGTGCATAGGGCAAAAAATAGTTGTACACATATGAGAAAAGGACTCATTACTTCTTAAATCTCGTATTACTATCTATTCATCTCGAAATTTTACATATAACTAATGTGTGACTAAATTAGCAGTCACAACTTCTCCAAAATATTTTAATGATTTTTGTACCTCAAATACTCCTTATTTATAAAAAATAGGTACTCTGATGATATCACTTTATTAGGGTATTCACATATTTATTTCACTCTCTCTCATACATGAGGGTGACTAACAAGAGGGTTTGAATCCTACTAGAGCCAAAACTCATATTTTTTATTTAATTAAATTATGATTTTTCTACAGATTATTGATGAAAGATTAAGCTGCTAAAATCATTCAATTATTGATAAAAATCTTATCAATGTGATTCATTGAGGATTATTATTAAAATTATTGAATGTTTCGCAATAAAAAGATCAAAAATCTATCGAGTAAATCATCTCTGGTTGATTGACAAATAAGTCATCATTAGAAAGAAGACAATCAACTAGGAGATGAGTTGTTACTTTTTGAGAGCGTATTAGATCTAATGAAGAGTATCTTCTTATTACACGAACTTGAGAAAGAAACTTTTTAAAATGTACCCTACTTTCATCTAACTCATCTCTATTGAGTGACAGTCACCAGAAAGTTATAAAGTCATCATTTTTCTATTTTATTAGGTGATAACCCTCAGAGATAACTCGACGATCTATTTCATTGATTTCTACACTTCACAAGAAGATCTAGAGATTGTCTATGTAGTCCTTGCCCAAAGAGAGTCTTTGACATTATAAATATTATATGAAAATTCTCTTAAATACTTAATATTTTGATGTATTACTTACATATCACTATCGTGACGTCGGAACTCTATTTTATCATTTTTTTAACTAGTTTAACTTTCACCATCATTTTTCAAACTTTAAAAAAAGATCTAATAAATGCTCAGGTCATCCATGTCCAAAGAGAGCCTTTGAGGCCATAGACATCATTTGATAATCCTCCCAAACACATAGAATTCTGACAATCGCTATCACGAGGTCAAAACTCTGCCTTTACTACTTTTAACTTAATTTTTAGTTCATTTAGTGATACTTTGTGTGATTTCAAATTTCTAAACTATTCCTCATTCAATTATAATTCTTCTAACTTTTATAAATTTTAATTTAACCTAGTAAATCATCTATAATTGATCATGTAAGAATCACTATATAGAATTCTATTTTTAGCTAAT